TTGGGATTAGATAATCTCTCAGGGAGCTAGCCTTTAACTCCAGCTCTAGAGGATCCAATGCCCTCTTCTTTCTTCCAAGGGCACGTGCACACATATGGCATACACACACACACACACACACACACACACACACAAATCAGTTGGGCACATTTGTGTAGACAGGTATATTTCTGAGTTTCTGTTATCTGCAGTAGATTCATGCCTCATTTCCTAGTCTTCCAATGGCAATTCATTGAACACTGGCATTCATGGGCCAGTATCACCAGCTTGATTACTGTGGCTATATAGTAAGGCTTGAAATCAGATCAATTCCTACTGGAGTAAGGTCTAGTCTGCATCCACAACAAAGTCTTAGGGGATTTGGGGTAGAATTACAACATATATATATATATGCATGTAAATTTGGGGAGCGATATCTTTACTATACTGGGTCTTCCAACCCATGAACATAGTATGTCTGTTCATTTATTTAGTTATTCTTTGATTTCTTTTTATTGGTGTACAGTTCTCAGCATAAAAGTTCAGTACATGCTTGATTTGGCTGGCACCTATTTCAGTATGTGAATAGGTATGAATCTCATTGTGTTTCTTCTTTTTAGGTTCCCAGACTGTGGGTTTTTTTGGGGGGGGGGCTTTTTGAGACAGGGTCTCCCTGTAGCTCCAGCTGCCCGGAACCCACTCTGTAGACCAGGCTGGCCTTGAAGTCACAGAGGATCCACCTGCCTCTTCCTCCTGAGTGCTGGGATGGATTAAAGGCATACGCCACCACGCCTGGCCAGATTGTGATTTTTATCTCTAGAAGTTCAATCAAGTGATTTACATTTTTTTTTTGTAGGGCACAGGTGAAGGTACACTGGGGCTGTAGAAGAGTAACAGAAAAATAATGGAAAACCGCTTGGTGCCTGGGAATGAGAGACATCCAGTGTCAAGGCCTGGGTGCTCAGGACACATGTGCAGTCGACTATAGCTGGCCATCAAGGGAGGTGGAAAGTCCATTCTTGAGAATCAGTTCTCTCAAGTTTAGAATCTACAAATGACAGAAACCTCCCTTGTCCCCAGCATAAGGCCAACCCAGAGGCAAAACCACTGACATATACAAACTGGGACCTCAAGGGAGGGGGTTGTGGGGGATGCAGCCACTCAGAGAAGGCTAGAACTGCTGCCCAACATGGAGAAATCCTCCATCCTTTAACCTGCTCCATCATCAGCCCACCATAACTGTTAAGACCTGTGAGTGCAGACTAGGTCTTTTGCCTTGTTTTTAAGACAGGGACTTACTGCATAAGCTAATATGAGATCAGGCTGGCCTCAAGCTCAGAGAGATGTGCCTGTTTCTGCCTCCTGAGTGCTGGTTTATAGGTGTGTGCCACCAAGCCCGGACCAGGCTGTAGGTTTTTGGTTTTGTTTGTTTGTTTGTTTTTTGTTTTTTGAGACAGGGTCTCCCTGTAGCCACAGCTGTCCTGGAATTGACTATGTAGACCAGGCTGGCCTTAAACTCACAGAGATCTGCCTGCCTCTGCCTCCTGAGTGCTGGGATTAAAGCATGCACCACCACACCTGGCTTCATTTATTATTTTTATGTATATGAGTATATTACCTGCATGTCTGTTTAGTGGGGCACCCCAGGACTGACTGTTGCTATGATATGCTATAAGCAGGCCCCAGTAGTTAAAGCTAGAGGCAGTTAGCTCAAATGGGCAGTGGAAAAGTCTGTTCCAGCGGCACCAAGATGTGGGCTTGAGAATGGGTTGGCATGTGCCTGGTTGCTCCTGCTAACAGCAGATTTATAGGATCTGTGCTTTTCGCTTGGCTTGCTCTTACAGAATATAAATTGTTATCTTACAGAATAGGAATTGTTAGGGGGACTTTCCACCCCTAAACTTGGGAGGGAACTTAAACTTTTTACCCCTGGATGTGGTTATGTGGTTTTTCTGTATAAAACCTTACGCTAAAAACGGCTCAGGGCTATACTTGGGACCTGAATTCCAGTGTAATCACTGGCCAGCTATAAAAGACTTTCTTTCGGCAATTTTCCTGTGTCTGAGTGGTCTTCTCTAGTGAAACTAACCTGATAAGATTTGTAAGTGCATCTATGTCATACAGTGCCCACAGAGGTCAGAAGAGGGCATGGAATCCCCTGGAACTGGAGTTACAGGAGGTTGTTAGTTGCCATGTGGGTGCTGGGAACTGAACCCAAGTCCTCTGCGAGAGCAACCAGTGCTCTTAAACACTGTGCCTTCTTTCCAGCCCTGTTTCATGAATATCTTAATGGGAGGTTTCTGTTTTTAATTTATTTTAAAGTCTTTATTAGTTCTCTCCTTCTTGATGTGAGTTCCTTTTGCTTTTCTTTTTGTAGTTGGTAGGTAAGAGGTTAGACTCTTAAATATAGGCTTGTGTTAATTACTTTCCTCATCTCTGTGATTAACCACCTGACAAAAACAACTCAAGGGATGAAGTTAATTTTGGCTGGTGTCATGGTGGGGATGTGACAACAGCAGGAGCTCAAGGCAGCTGGTCACGAGGCATCCACAGTCAGGAAGCAGAGAGAGATGGATGCTGGTGCTCAGACCATCTTCTCCTTTTCATTCAGTCAGGACTGCAGTCTATGGAAGGGTACTGCCCATATTTAGGGTGGGGCTTCCCACCTCATTTAACCCAGTCTAGGAACTCCATCATAGACATGCCCAGAGGTTTGTTTCCATGGTGATTCTAGATCCTGTCAAGTTGGTAATTGAGATTAACCATCACAAAGCCATCCTTTTCTACTATGTGAATTTAGTGTTATAAACTTCTCTCTCAGCTTTACCCGTGTCCCAGAAATTTTTATATGTTGTGTTGTCATTCAGTTTAACATTTTTATTAATTTCTCTCCTCTCTGATTCCTGGATTGTTTAGATTATGTTGCTCGATTTCTAAGCGCTTAGAACTTGCTTGGTTCTCTTCTGTTATTGATTGATAGTTTGATTCTGTTGTGCTCAAAGAACACATTTCTTTTTTTCTTGAGATAGGGTCTCCCAGTAGCCCAAGCTGGCCTGAAACTCACTTTATAGACCAGGCTGGGCTCTGTCTGTCAGAGACCTGTCTGTCTCTGCTTCCCGTGTGCTGGAATTAAAGGTATGCACTACCATACCCGGCAGAGAAGACATTTTGTAAGATTTCATTTCTTTCCTCTTTTTTTTGAGGTTAGTTTTATGGAATAGGATGTGGTTTATTTAGAATTGGGTGTATTGTCCCTTTGGGAGGCGATGACCCAAAGGACACTGATATTCTACAGCTGGAAAGAAAGAGGTGCATGCTGTTGAGTAAGGTCCCAACGTTCTATTAACTATGGGGACACAGAGGAAAGTGTACTCTCCAGATAAGGAGATCAGAGCAAAACCAAAAAAAGCAGCCTAGGGCTGAGACTAAACTTCAATTTGGGAAAGTGCTTGCCTGGCATGTTCGAGGCTCTGAGTTAAATCCCCAGTACTACAAAAATAAAGCAGAAGCCAGAATGACATAGTGACAAAGTTAACTATGCCAAAGGGTAAGAAGGGACTGAAACATAGATCAAGAGACTTAGAGGTATGAAGCCCTGAGGTGGAGATGCTGCCTGTGTGATGTACAGTGCTGGCTCTTCCCCGGTGGTCTCCAGGAATGACAGGTCAGTTTTTCCCAGGGACTTGTACTTCTAAAGATCAGAACCTATGTTTTCTCCATCTTGTTGGAGACCTTGAACTTTTCAAGGTTAACTGAGCATCGTGGAAGACCTCAGGCAGTGACTGACCCTCTCCCTTCCCCAGATGCTGCAGGATTAAATGAAGTCAGGAGCCTCCTCCATGGAGAGACCATAGGAAGAAAAATTTCTCAATGGCCTTGAGCATTTTATTTCTCTCTGCTACAGTGGGGTTGGGGAGGCCTCAGTCATGATCTGCCCAAACGCATTGGCGGTGGCATTAGTCATAAATCGTCATCCGACGTTTATTGCTGCCAAGATCCCGGCAGATTGATTATTTTGGAAAAGGAATGAAACTGTGATGGCCAAGCCGCTGCCTCATGAAAAACCTCTTTGTCACTTGTCATCTTGACAGGAGAGGGGCTTGAATTGGAAAAGGGGGGACGGCACTATGGAGTGTGTAGATCTTGTGGGTGCCTCAGGGGACAGCAGACAAGTCCTGTGTACCATCGCTGATGAATATGTGTATGAAAGCCCATACCACCCAGCAGCTCTTTGGAAGGAATGGCAGTTCTTTATCTCATGCTTAAGGCTTCTGCATGGTGTGGCTGAGCTAATGAAAGTGAGCCAGTATCTATGCAACAGTGGGACTCGGCATTGATGGATGAGCTCCTTTGCAAATGTGGTGCTCTGATCAAGCCAGGGTCCTGCTTCCTTCCCCTGCGGTCCTTCCCTCTGTGCTGAGGCACGTACAAAACCTGGGGAGGAGTTTAGCCTCTTGTTTCCGGGGTCACTGGGTTATTGCCTTTCGGTCCAAGCGTAGTAGGGGCAGGCACTCCAGGGCAGGGAGAAGCCCCTGTTACCACAGCCTGCAGTCAATGGCGCAGTGCCCTCTTCAGTGGGCACAGACAGGCACAACGTAGATGAGATTCACTCAAAGCTGAACTCTGCTCCAGGTGGGACGAGTTACTGGCCCTCTGGGACATGGTCGCTCATCTAAGGTCAGGAGCTTGCATTGGCTAAGTGTGTTAGTCTTCTCAGAGGTCGTGACAGACACCTCTGACTAGACGACTTATACAACAGGCCTGCGTTTTCCCGCAGTTCTGGAGGCTAAAGTACAAGATGGTGCCATGGGCAGGGTTAGTTTCTTGTCTTGTTGTTTTGTTTTTTATTTGTTTAGTTAAAATTAATTTTATGCATATAAGCATTTTGCCCGCATGTATGTAAGTGCCCACAGAGGCCAGAAGGCGGCGCTGGATCCCCTGTGGGTGCTGGGCATCAAACACACAGACCTGAGGACAACCTCAGGTGTTGTTCTACAAGTGTCATCTTTTTTTTTGTAATATGATGTACTCATTTTCTGAATACACTTAAAAGGACAGTACTCCTTTCAATGCAGAGGAAAAGGACGTGTGTGTTACTCTAGCACAGAGTCAAGGCCAAGAGAGTGGGTGTTCACTGTGTAAAGGTGTCATCTTTTAAAAAATGTATTATACTTATTTTATTTTATGTGTATGAGAGTATTGCCTGCATGTATGTAAGTGCACCCATATTGTGCAATACCCTCGGAGGTCAGAACAAGGTGTTGGATTCCCTGGAACTGGAGTTACACATGGTTGCTAGCCACTGTGTGAGTGCTGGAAATTGAGCCTGGGTTCTCTGTAAGAACAGTCAGTGCTTTTAACTGCTGAGCCATCTCTCCAGCCCCCTGGAGTAAGGGCAGTTCATAGCCGCCATGTGGGTGCTGGGAATGGAACCCAGGTCCTCTGTAAGAACAGCCAGGCCCCCCCCTTTTTTAACACGCATTCTGGAGATTGAACTCAGGTCCTTATGCCTGCAAGGCAAACACTGACTGAGTTTTCTGATGGTTTCAGACAGTGGATACTTTTCTGTTAATTTCTGCTCTAGTATAGAATTATTTTCCTTGTGTGTGTGTGTGTGTGTGTGTGTGTGTGTGCGCGCGCTCCTGCGTGTGTTGCCTGAGTGTATGCAGGTGTGCGTACACATGTACCTGTGCATATAGAGACCAGAGGACAACCTCAGATGTCACATTCAGACAGAGTCTCTCATTGGCCTAGAATTCATCAAGTAGGCTCTGCTGGCCGCCCTGAGAGTCACAGGGATAATAAGCCTGTCTCTGCCTCTCCAGCGCTTAATTACAAGTACGCATCACCAAGCTTGGCTTTCTTTTACCTGGGTTCTGGGGATGAAACTCAGGTCCTTATGTTTTCAAGGCCAGCACTTTATCAACCGAACCATCTCCCCAGCCTCAGGCACTTCCATATATCTTGATGTGGGGTCTGGGAGAAGGTGGGTGAAGATACCCCCCATAAATAACTGTCAACATGGGGCCCCAGAGCAGCAACAGAAGCATCAGGAGCCTGATAAACGTTCAGAGCCTCAGGTCCCAGCCCATACCTCCTGAATCACAGACTTAGCTCAGCCCTGTTCTCTCTGACAAGCCCTGCCTCACTACCCCACTTGGGCCAACGAGATCTCAGTCAGTAAAGGTGCTTGCCACCAAACACGACAACCTCAGTTGCATTCCTGGAATCCACATGATGGAAGGAGAGAACTGACTCCCCCAAATTGTCCTACGACCTCCACAAATGTGACATGATGTGACTCCGTTTGGCATCCCCTTTGGTTTTGTATCTCTTGCAGATGCCTCTCTTGCCTCACCCTAGATGCTGGAACTCAACTCATATCAACACATGTTTTGGGAGGAGTGTCACATAGTAGTGTATGACAGGGGCACCTGACCCACTCAAGGCTGTGAGAAAGACTCCTGTGAGAATGTGAGGTGAGACTCAGAGCTGAGGGTCTGCAGGGGTTAACTCTGGATGAAGGGCAGGAACTCAGCAAGTGTCAATGCTCTGTGCTCAGAGTGGGTGGAGCAAAGAGGCCAGGCAGAAGCCCCCTGTGCCATGTGAGCCCTTCATAAGTCCTTACTAAAGTCCTGTCGTGAGCCCTAAGGGTCTCTTGCCTTTAGCCACCCATTTGGAAAGCTTGAGAGAAGCAATTGGAACAGAGTTAGGTCTCGGTTTGCCTTGGCCGGGATGGTAAAGCATACCCCTAGGTGTCTTTCACCCAGAAATGACTATTTGGCACCCAGTAGGTAAGGTAGGG